CATTCATTAAAATGAGTGAGAAATTTATTGTTTTGCACATATTCGTTTTGTAGTAAACCTATGAAAAGTATAAATTAATACCATGTTTTCGGACAATATTAAGAGTAGCAATATTTCATAACAGGCACATGCTTCAGTACTATGGATCAGATTAAAAAATAAAAGATTGCCTCGTTTTGGAGTACTTCAATATGTGAGTTTCACATGTTTGTTTTAAGTGTTTTTAAGCCTTTGGATCATGGGTTGGATTCTAGTTATATGATTATATTTTTCCTAACTGTAAATCATTGATATTTACGGATTGTCAATTTAAATTTTTGTTTTATTAATCTTTGTCTTACTCTTTCATTTTTGACAAAATATTTTTAAATTGAATATTTACTTTTTTTTTTCTTTTGTCAATTTTCTTTTACAGTAGTTGTTCTACGTGTATATTTCTGTTTTATTTATTTTTTAGTTGTTTTAATGATTTTTCCTCATATGAGATTGGTTGTACCTTATTTACATTGCAAAAATAAAAATGAAGTGTATGTATTAAATATTTTATATATATAAATATATTACAATATTCATTAGACCTTGGAAAACAGACTAAAAGAAAATTGAAAAAAAAAAAGGAAAAATGAAAAAAAATAAAATGGAAAAGTGGAAATTCAACAATTTTAATGGCACCAAGTAAATTTGCAACTTTATTGGTTTCAACAACATTTGACATAGTTTTTCGATTCGAGTCGCTGATGAAGACTTGCAAAATATTTTTTTATAAATGATATGTATGGCACGGCAAGATATATATGAGAAAAAGTGTTAAAATATATCTCTGCCCATTAAAAGATATTTAAATTAAGTTGAGTACGATTATAAAGTTCCAATCCTTTAATTCACAAGAAAATTCCTTAAATAAAAATTTCTAATAATTGTGAATTTTTTTCCAAATATGTCATTAGTTGTAACAATTGCAATAATTTTAGTAAAATTTCAAATACCTCCCACTTTTTCAAAAAAATATAAATACTTAAATTCGACGAAATTTTAGACAATAAAAATTTATAAAACCTTAATTTATGATTTTGTAACGGTAACACATAGGCATTAAGGTTACCATTACTACTGCTCACACGGTCCTAATATTGTACGTACGTTCTTAAAATATATACTAAATTTTTCTCATCATCACATCTCTACAATCTATAAAATCTCCACAAATCTATAGTTAATAGAACCATATTAAATACAATAACTCTTGTTCGTAAGTAACTGATATTAATGACTGAATAAATTCTAAATCTAACTGTAAAATATATTCATAAAAAACTTTAATTCTGTTTTTGTTATAAAAATTTATTAAAAAACGTTATTTTAATGTTCTTTTGAGTCAAGAAAAATAAAGTGAGTTATTTGAAAAAAAAATGAATTTACTTTACTTCTCTGTACGAAACTCGAGCTATCTCGAAATTTTTGTGTAAAAACGTGAATATAATTTGTCAAAGTACTCAGACAAAGGAAAAAACTTACAATGTACGCTCTAATTCTAATACAACAATATAGAATTTTATTTTTCTACAAAAAAAAGCAACAAGTGCCTCTGAGTATATCATTTATAAAGTTCACATGACGTGCTGTGATGACAAATGTGTTTCACATAATTGAATTATGTGCACAAAAAAATGCAAACTGAAGCGTTCTATAGCGTGTAACGAAAGTGACGTCAAATCATGTGGTATAAAGAGCTATTGCTGTTAATTTACAACTACAAAATAGGTCATCTATGGGAATTCATAGTCTCGATGAAATCTTCTAGCCAAAATTATTATACTAATTCAAATTTACGAAAATCAATAATAAAATTGGTGGAATTAAATCAAATTTAATCGACCCACTCAATAAACCTGTTTTTGGGAAATTTTAGCAACTAATTTTGCCTATGCATGTAATATAACAAAGCAATTAAAGCAGTATTCGCTTTTAGAAACTGAAACTAGTACTTTTAAAAACCAATACTCATAACTATAGATACCAAAAATTTTTAAATCCTTTTAGTAATTATACTCTTTCAGATGCTACAGAAGTTTTTCATTCAAATGTTAAGTAATATACATATAAAATTTTCTTTAAATTTTCGCTACTTAAAGCAAACAAAAATAGGCAGCTAAACAAGTAAGTTGTTTTGAAACAATCTACACAGCTAAAGAATATAATATCAATCTTCAAACTTATAATATTATATTTTCTCCTGCAGGTTATAATTCAATGATAAAAGGATTTTAAATCAAAATTTTCCAAAGTTTTAGTGCAAAACAGAAATGTGAAGGTCGTCACCTAAACTGAGTGATTTTCTCGATTAAAATATATTTGCCATTTCTCTCTTTTATAAAATAAAATTATTATACAATGTTATAAGCAAAATTTTTGATAAAAAGTCTATAAAATTTTGAATACTCGTAATATTAAAATTTAGACGGAAAGATCATGAACTTCCCGATAGTCGCTTGTTGGTATTAAATACCATTAAATATCAACTTTATTAGATGTTATGACCCGAAATAGTTGCGAAATATTACTGAAACCAGCTATCCATTTTATTCGAATAAGAATAATGAAATTTTGGTTTGTGATTGGTTATACCTTGTAGATTGCTAAGAAGAGGTAACATTGACCAGAAAGTATATAAATCTATGGTTTACTTTACTTTTACCTCTTTATTTCAACATAATATGTCGGGAATAGTGAAAAAATAATGAAAAGTTTTTTTTCAACTTTTCATAAAATGAAGCAATTTTTAACATAATACGTCTGTAATTTTCCACTTTTCATATATAAGAAAAACAAAAAAAGAAAAAAAAATAATAATAATAATTTTCAATCTTAAAGAAAACAAAATAAAAGAAAGTTAATTCCGGAACTTTCCCTTGAATTTTTCAAAGGAAAATTGGAACAGTAAGGATAAAAGGTATTTGCTTTATTCAAACAATTTATGCATAAATTGTTGGTGTTATTTTGTTTTTATTTTCCACTTCTACATACATATACATACAGAGATTGTTTTGTTCGTTATTCCCCTTCAAATTCATGTTCAATAAATGTCATATTATTGAAAATTTAATTTATAAAACATTTCAATCGAGAAAAGGTGAAATGAAACGGTACCTTAAATGTATTTTCGGCGGAATTTTATATACAATATATTTTATACATTACAATATATGTATATACATATACATATTACATTTAGATTCTATAAAATATTCAATTTATTGAAATAATATTGTACTTTGATTTGATTGTAATCGGAATTGTGGTTATATTTTTCTTTTTGATTTTCCCATATAGTTTTTATTCTATTTTTTTTTTCAAGGTCCTATTGTGGGAAAATTGGTATGTAATTTGTTTTGTATATTATATACATATGTGAATTAAAAAATTTGTATTGAATAGATGCTAGAGTAAAAGCACGCAAACAATCACGCTATATTTAATTAATTTAATTAGAATTTTTTTCAAGAGGAGTACCTAGTTGTACAAATGAAAAAAAAATTTCATTGGAAAATATTTTCAGCTAAAATTTTTTGTCTGAATTTCAACGATAACGATATTATTATCGGATATGTTATTTCTAAAATTTTCAAAGCAAAAATGTTCCAAAATAAATCAAATTATTGCATACATTTAGGATAAGAAAAAAATTTAAAGGACTTTAACACAACGTTTGAATTCGGCGGTTAAGACAGCGAGTTAAGAAAAATATATTTTTTATTTATGGGATGGGATTTACCGATTAGCGTTTAAAAACTGTTAAAATTTGGACCTCTACAACTTATTGGCTAAATGAAAAATGATATAAAAAATTTGAATATTAACAAGTTTTAGATAACGGTTAATTTTAATGCCGATTTTGTCATTTCAATGTTTAAATATATTGCGTTTCGGTAGAGTGAGCATGTTGCTCCTTTTATTCCGTTTACAGAATTTAAAAAAATGTCTGTGAAAACTACTACAAAAACTAGTCAAAAAATGGCATTATTAAATTTCCAAAAAAGATTTATTTTACAAAAAAATTTCAGAATTATTTCTTTAGGGTTGTAGAGGTTTTATAAACAGAGGAACAGACGAACGAGCGGACGGGAAGAATTAAACTTGTAAGCACTTTCTTTAATGGAAAATACTAAAAAGTAGTAAAAATATTGTAAATTACATTGATTATCAATAATAATTCATGAACTTTGTTGCATACAACTCCTGTTATTTATATTTCAATTTACATATGAATATTTTTTACGTCTACTTTTTCATTTTACGCAATATTTCAAGGGAAATTTTTCAACAACACGATGAAGTTCAATGCAATTTCCCATTTCAAAGAAAAAGCAGATTGTCTATTTGAACAAATCATTATTTTTATATAAACAGAGAATAATAATGAAATATGCACATACAAATTATGACAGTAGTTTGAAAAATGTAGAAAATTTCCGGTCTCAAAAATTACGTAAGCGTAGGACAGCCAGTGCTTTATAATTTAAAAAGACGAAACGTACACTACTTAGAATTAAATTTCTCATACATTTATTAATATTGAGTCTTTTTTTGAAGTCCTTATTGTAAGGATATTATGAACAGAAATTTTAACTAATTTTGAACAAATTTATTTTTAAATTAAGCACATTCAACTATACATCTACTTAGAAAAAAAAATCTGTTCAAAATTAAATTTAGAAATTTTGCATATTTGATTATCACAAGCTCCAGCTTTTCTTATTGAATCTGAATTTCAAAATATGCATATTATTTGCAGGATTCAACTCTTTTCAAAAAATATTTTCAATTTTATAACTTTACATTTTTTTTTACATAACAATAAACTCACTTGATATCAAAATATATTTTTCATTCGAATTTGTTTTTTCTACATTTAAAAAAATTTTTTTTTGTGAAAAATCATAAAAAAAATCCTTTTTCTAGTCACTTAAATAATAACTTGTTTTTTTATTCAAATTTTATAGGTACGATACCAGCAACTCCTGAAAATATAACGATTACTTTTTTAACTCCAACATCAGTACGTGTATCCTGGCAAACTATGTTAGATATTCAAACACATCCTGTTGACAAATATGTTGTCACGTATAAACCAACGGATGACAGGTAAGATATGTTGAATAACAAGTTGATTATACGCAGATGTTTGCATGTACATTTTAACATTTAAATAGAATAGAATCAAAAGTTAAAGCTATTTTTATAAAAGAAAAAAAAATTATTTTCATTTAGGATGCTTCCTTCCTGTTTATATGTATACATTGTATGTGTATGTATAACACAAAAGAACAAGAAAAAAAAAACTTCATATATAAATTTAGAAAAGAAAAATAAAAGACTTATTATTTTAGCATGAGTTAAAGTCATTAAGCACGCCATCTGATGGAAAGGTGACGATAAAATTTCAGAACATTATACAGAAGGCACCTATCAGCATGCTGTCATTAAAATTTAATTTTCCTTTTCAGTTTCTGTTTTTTTTTTTTTTTTTTTGGTTTTTTTTGTGATTCCCTCTTTGATTTGATGCTACGATTAATATTTATGTATATGTGAATGTATATAAATGTAAATATTATATTTATAGAATACACTTGAATCATAGAACTAGATGACAAATATTTTTCAGTACCCGGCATTTTCTCATTTTTAATTTTCTATATTTTTTATTTTAAAATTTTCTGTTTTTGTTTCTTATTTTGTTTTCGGCTTTGAATATATTTTTTAGTTACGATATTTATGTCCGACATGAAAAATACCTTTTTTGTGAAAAGCATTTATTATAGGAGAATATTGTTATCCTTTTATTATTAAATATTTTGTATATATGTAAGAATATTATATGAAAAAAAGAAGCAATATTAAAAATAAAAAATTGAATGTATTAAAGATCTCATATGATAAAATATGCAAATGAATTGGAAGATTTTGTTTTTTTTTTTTTTGTTTTATTAATGATTGTATAAACCTATAAAGATAATATGAACGATAAATTTTGACTATGAAAAAGAAGAGAAAAGGACACAATAGTGTAATTGTTTCGTGTTATAAAAATTATGCTTTTAAAACGATTACCATATAAGGATATTAAGGATAAAAATAAAAAGAGGTTCCTTTGAATTTTTTGTTTTCTTGTTTTATGAAAATAAAACGTACATTTTTATAACATTAAATCGTATACGTTTGCTTTGAATGTAAAGTAATTTTTGGGTTATAAATCTTTTTTAAATATTTAATGCATACCGGTATAAAAATTTTATATTAATAACAATGGTGTATGGTATATTCAAGGATTTCATTTTTAAATATTATCGAAATTTGTGCCATTATTCTAAATAATTAAATTTTTAAAGGTATTAAATTTAGTAAATAATTGGCCAAACAAGAAAGCAACAAGAAAATAAATTTTTATTTTTAAATTTTATTGGAAAATATTCAAGGATTAATTTTAGTTAAGAAACAACTTTATCTCCTCAATTGTCTAAAATTTATACAAATTTAGAAAATAAATAATTGTTCATATGAGCTACGGATATTTGTAGTTCACAAGTAAATATGAAAATTTAAAATAAGTAGGCAGAAAGTGGGTTAATTTAGCAATATTCCGAAATGTGGCAATTTACAAATTTGACAAAGTATTTAGCATTATTATACGTATGAACGTATGTTGGAACGGTATAATAAATTTACCATTTCGATTGTAACGCTAACAAATAACGGTGTGATGCAATTATATGTTCTTGATCAGCGTAAAAATCTGAGTTCATTTAGATACGCCTCCCCGTGCGCACATCGCCACCAAACCATAACATATTAGTTGCGTTAGCAAATACAACTGAAGCAAATACAATCATATTTCACGTCGAACCAAATCATTTTGCCGTGAAATGTTTTTCCATCTTCAATTTCCGTTTGCTCACATTTTACAATTTTCAAATTTGTGCCATGTACATATTTTGCATATTGATCCATTATTTTATAATTTGAACAACTTCAAAATCTATAAGGATGCTATTAGAGACCATTATAATTTGTGATGCCTTACAGTTTCAATATCTAAAGTTTACAAGAGAATATTTAATAATGCCCCTAAATGTATGCAATTTTGTTTAAATTTCTCTGATTCGTAATATTAGATTTTATTAAAATTGTTTTATATATTCTTCAAATTCCACAAATATAGAAAGTACGTAAGAAAGTAAGCATTACATTTTACGTGTAATCAAATGTTAGAATAATTTGCATTTCTACTTATACTTATACTTTTTGTACCATAGCCTACAACTCCACAGCCCACAACTTCAAGAGGTACATTTTATATTAAAAGATATACCTAACAGCTATCTTTTTTCTGCGAAGATTTCTTTATAAATCTCGAATTTTTATATGCATTTTAATATGTCATTTATGTGTGTTAATAAAACATAAATAAAATACAAAAATAAAATTAAAGAAAAAGCACTTTAAATTTAATCGCTTCAATGGAAAATGTTTTAAAAAAGGATGATTTAAATATTTAAATAAAATAAAAAGTTTCTTAACAGCCTGTAAGTTTTTCCAATAAATTTGTTATTTGCAATACTCTTTAAAATAAATTTACAATAAATTTTTAAAATAAACATAAGAAAACTGAAAAAGGTATAAAATCTAGAAAATTTTATTTTCTACTATAAATTTCTAAATTTCTTTCGTTTTGAAAGGAACAGGAAATTTTTAAAACAAAAAGAAAAAATTCAAATTTAAAGTGTGAATAAAAATGAAAAATATTCAAACTATTAAAAATTTTTGTACCCAAAATATAGAAGTCTAAAAAACTCAGAACTTTCTGAACTTTATTTACATACTTTAAGAAAACCATGAAAACGGTCCAAAATTTGTATTCTATTTTTATTTCACTAGATAAGTTATTTATATTTATTTCTTCAATATAATTTCACAAAAACAAGACGTTCAATATCATTTTCTAATGATGAAATCGGTACATCAATTTAAAAAAGAAATTTCAGCCACTTTTCAAGAAAATAATTTGAATTTGCCAGAATCACAATGTCAAATTAATCGCTTGTTTCTTCAACGTCAACTCCTCTACGGCGAAAAAAAAATTAAATTGAATCAATTTGACATTTTTTTTTCTTTAAAATTTATCTCAAATGAGCCCAGTCGATCGTAGACAGTATATAATTTAATATTAGTTTAGCAATTCAATTAAAAATTTTAATTAAATTAACAGTGGAAAGTGATTAATTAACTAATAACACTCAGGTGCCTCAATTATTAGAACTTGACAAAAATATTTTGAATATTCTAGCAATTTTCTTAGCTTTCCTGAACTGCATATTTTTCATGGTCTTTCCATTTCAATTTATCATCTATTATAGCATCGAGATACTTAGAATATCTCTTGTTAACAATTTTAAATTTTGTATCCTTGCAATTTATGGCGATATTGATAATCAACATGTGCAACTCCATTCAATCATTTATGCTTCTTAAGTCCTCGTTCATGTCTTCTTTAACTAATTGACAACTGAAACAATTAAAGGAATCGCATTATTTATGCATTTTTTTGTAGAAGTTAAAAAATTTTCATTGCAAAATTCTTAAAATGTGCTCGGAAACTTAAACTTGAAAAAATTTTTTTTTGTATCAAATGGAAATGCAATTTTCCATTTTAATCTTCAAATATAAAGAAAAATTATTTAGGAAGATCCTTAATTGCTTTTATTTTAAATGGTATAGGTTTTACCAATTTTGGCTTTGAAGATTCATTGAAAAAAAAAATTCATAATTTATTTGAGTATAAGTTGACTAATTTTTGGAAAAAGTTTCTGAGATTAAAAATGAAGAATAGTTAAAATTTTTCATAGATAATTTAGCAGCATTTCAAAAAATTACTTGTTTTATTAAATGGTTCTTCGGGATGTTAAAAAAAAGCTCTATCAGTCACTTTTTTTTCGAAAAATCTTAATATGGGTATGAAAAGTTACATATGAAACGAATTTATTTTTAAATAGAGAAAATACGAGTACGGTTTCCATAAAATATTCTTGAACGTTTTTACTATGTGTAGCATCAATTTAAATTTTAAATTTTTCACTTAGTATGCATTTATTCTTTTTAGATTGCATTTATTTCATGAATAAATTGTATAAGTTCGTTTCTCATTTATTTTCATTTATACAGAATTTACCAAAGAGTTTGCGGATACAAAGCATTAAAATGTTCTCTCAACGAGATAATATACTTTCTGCAATTTTATTAAATATGAAGTTTTCAGAAAAAATTTCTACAATATTTTTTATTCACACGATTTACCACACAAACACATACTAGGCAAAATCTGTAAGGTAGACATACACGTATATATCACGTATATATTTAAAGGAGAATAACTACTATATGCTATTGTTCATTTCATGTTGTCAAAAAGTAATATGATATAAAACAAAAAGAGAATATTGTATTAAAAAAGTCCTGAAAAATTTTCAAAACTAAAAAAAAATAGCATGTAACATGCACTTTCATATTATAATAGAGCAAATAACTTCCAAAAATTTTTCATCATAATAATTTCCTGTATTATTGCAATAACAATCTGTTTTTTATTTTTACCAAACTGGCAAATAAATAATATGAAATCCTTACAAAAATAAAAAAAAAACAGAAAATAAAAATTATAACTTTTCCTTATAATAGCAAGGTATTTTTATCATGATTAGTAACATGACTTCGCTTTACGAAATTTAAAAAAAAAAGGAAAAGTTTTGAATAGAATGAAGATAAATTTGTTGGTCAAACTAGCTATGAGATCAAGTATGTATTATTAAGGTTTTTAAATTATAACATATTTAAGTGTATTCGGCCCTCTTATACCCAGTCATTCAAATATGATGTAATTTATAATTTGATTCAGGTTCAATTAACATGGGGATCAATTGACATAGATAATTAAAAAATAAAAAAAAAACTTAATAAGGGTACGAGTATTATTATTTTTTCTGTTAATATGAAAAAATCGAAATTAGAATGAGAAACTCTTTTCATTTTTCCTATTGCTTCGAAGAATATTCAGTAATTAGTCTATTACTTAAGGCTATTTACTCAAAACT